TTACTCGAGCTAATGAATTGCTGTTGGGCCTTTGACTTTTTAAAAGATTCATTCAAAAGATACCTTGGTAAATGTTGTAGAAAAATGTTTTGTGAGAAGCATTAGGTTTTGAAACTATTATTCACAAAGAATTAGTTTCTAATGAAATAATGCTAGATATTTGACTTTAGAGCAAGATTAAATTCAACTTTCTTACAGCTAAATCCTGTTTAAAATATCATATAATATCCACATAAGTACTAGCTTTAGTTAGCTTTAGTACTTGCTAAATTGTTTATATATCTAAAAACAGGACTTTAGAATTTCTAGTTTTAACGTTCAACTGTGACATGTTTATTTAAAAATTTTGTTTTGGCAAATTTTGTTATGTATATTTTGATCAAGAAAAGTCTTATGGTTGTATTTTAGTATTATAATTTTTATTTTCAGAGCTGGTCTCCATCTTTGGAGTTTGTTTGGGGATGTGGAAAATACCTTCTTTCATGCTCCCATTTAGAAGTATTTTTTTTTCTTATATTTTTTTCTAGAGTTATCTCTATAAAAACTTAGGCTACTTTTATATATATATATATATATATATATATATATATATATATATATATATATATATATATATATATATATATATATATATATATATATATATATATATATATATATATATATATCTTTATACATTACACCCTTCATGCTTTTTTTTTTTTTTTTTGAAAAATGTATTAAAAAAATATTAGGAAATGGTTGTTTTTTTTATCTAATGATTATATTTTAGTAGTATATATTATTAATAATAATAGTAATAATATATATTATAATATATATAAACATATTATAATAAATAAACATATTATAAAATTTAAAGGACAGTATACTAAAAGAACAAGATATTTCATATATAATGAAACAGAGAGCAGTGGCTGGTTATGGTATAAAATCTATTGTAAGTTGTAATTACAGTTCTTTTTTTAAATAACAAATTTGGCTTCGCTTGTTTTGAATTTTTTAATTGAAATACATAATTAAAAATTTATGAGGTTTGTAGAAATCTTATTGTATTAGGTTTTAAGAGGATCATTCTATATCATCAGTAATAAATTCAATTAAAAACGTTTTTGCACCTAAATGTCTCAAAATCAATTCATTATTACATTATTTGTATTAATAAAACGTTGCAAGATTAAAAATAAACTACATGACAGTTCTCAATAGAATCTCAAGAGAGTTGATTTTTCAATTTAGTTGCAACTTTATCTTGTTAATATTTTAAAGAATCTTTTTAATGTTTGAAATTTTTATTGAATGTAAAAACTTTACATTAAAAAAGTGCCTTGATTATCCAAATTGATTATCCAAATATATTTCAGCCCTGGGCAAAACATTTTCTTCATTCTAGATAAGGTATAGATCATCAGCTAGAGGAAAGATATGTACTTTAACATCAAGATACCAATAATATTAATGTATAGTTTCTTTAAGATGGTGCTGAATTGAAAGTTACAAACTTCCTCATTAGCTACAAAGTTTTATATCCCTTTTATTTTACTATTTTGGTGGTAAGAAAGTACTCAAGTCGGAGCTGTTAAAAAATTATTTGTCCATAAGGAACCACTCATATACACTAGGTTCTAGAGCTTTTTGCATTGTAACATTTTAAATTCAAAAAGGTCAGGTTAAAAAAGCAATTAGTAGAACTAGTTCCCAACCTTCAAGGTTAAGCTTTAAATTTTCAGAGATTCCAATAGAAGATTGAATGAAGATGGCATCCTATTGTGTTACTTTTTGTAAGTTTTTGGAACTAGAACTTCTGTGTTCTTTTTTTTAGAATATTACTTTTTGGAATCTTGCTAATCAAGGCAAAAAAAAGCAATTTTGAGGTTTCTGAAGCTCAAAATATTAGTCAGAAACTTCATTTTCTTTGTTGAAATAATCTTTGAACTTGGAGAGCCATTGCTTGCTTAGGTTGCTAAAATTGCTAGATAAAGATTTTTTTTGTAGTCTCCTTTTTTGTTTTTTTTTTGACAGTTTTAAACCCCTTTTTACATCCTGTTTTGTTATAATTGATATTTTCCATTTGCTCATTTTATCTTTCTAAAGACTATGACTGCAATGTACAATTCAATTCTAATGTGCATTTTTAATCTAAGATCAAAACCAAGTTCGGTTAGAATGGCACTTGATGCTTTTTGCAAAATATTTGATGAAACATAACATAGCCGTTAGGGCAACATTTTAACCAATTATTTAAATCTATTTTGCTCTTAATGTTTCTTTTTACTTCTTTTTGTTGTTGTTGTTACCATATTCGATTTGTAATAGTTTCAAAAACGTCTCACGCTTATCATTATAGTAATTCAATGTCTAAGTTTTTTATGAGTAAACATATTTGCTTTAAATCTAGAGGGTCTGGTTTTTTACATTTAAAACTATTTTTAATACTATTTTTATATTTAAAGTAATTGTTCTTTAATTTCTTTGAAATCACATTTTGTTCACTGGGTTTTTTTTTTCAGGAAAATAATGTCACAGTAACTATTTGATTTTAAGTATTAACTGTCATCTTTGATCACCAACATCATCTATCATCTATGATCACTAACTTCATCTATCATCTATGATCGCTAACTTCATCTATCACTAACTTCATCTATCATATATGATCACCAACTTCATCTATCATCTATGATCACCAATTTCATCTATATTCTATGATCACCAATTTCATCTATCATTTATGATCACTAACTTTATCTATCATCTATGATTGCTAACTTTATCTATAATCTTTGATCACTAACTTCATCTATCATATACGATCACCAACTTCATTTATCATCTATGATCACCAACTTCATCTATCATATATGATCACCAATTTCATCTATCATCTATGATCACTGACTTAAAATGTAAATGCTATAATTAAATATTCAAGTTTAATTTAGGGAAAAAAAATTAACTTCTATGTTAAAAAAATTAATTTTGACATATTAGTTTCAATTCTGTGTGAAGTCATACTCTTGGTTTTTTTAAATTGTAATATTAATATTTTCATAAATTAATGTTAAAAGTGTTGAGTGTTTTTTATCAAGGTAATTTTTTGCCTGATATTTTTAGAGGATTTATTATTTCAACTTTGTTTTAACTTTTGTTCTTAACGTTTAACTTTTTCTAAACATTAACTTTCAACTAGTTTTAAAACTTTTATGCAAAAAACTGGGTAAACAAGTTTAAAAATAAAAATAAAAAAGGCAAACCTATTGAGTATAAAGTCTTTAAAGCTGGTACTTTTAAGTTCCTTTTCAAAGAAAGTAGCATTTAACAAGATGGTCTCTCTTAAGCCTATACACCTTTATGAATCTAAATTTAGTTTTTAGTTATTAGAACTTAGACACAATACTTCACAAGATACTACACTCAATACACTACATTATGACAACTAGATTAAAATATTTCTGTGCTTCAAATAATGTAAAGATGAATTGATTTTAAGTTAGAAATGCCTGAATCATTTGACATGAAACAACTTTGAAGTTTTTTATTTATGTTTTTATAATTGTATTTATGTGTTCAACCTAAATAAATTATTAGGCAGTAATTTTTCAATTATTTTGATGTATAAATGTTTACAATTTTTATTATTTAACATGGATTGTTGCTCTATGCTTTATTGGGCTGTTGGGTTGACACTTTCAATTTCATTAGTGGATTGTCACTCTGCAATTTTATTCATTCTTTTTTTTTTATCCTAAAGTGTTTGCAAAATTTCCAAAAATATTTATTAAAAAAGGTATATGTCTTTTTAATACATGCTAGGCTTGCTAACAATCCATGGTAGTTATTTAAATGTAATACTTATTTATTGCAAATATAAATTTATATAAGAATAAATGTCCATAAAAATTGCAGCTGAAAGATCAAAATCAAATTAGAAAGGTGTTGAAAAATACTTCACTTGTAAATCTCTGGGATTGGTTACATTGTATCTTTTTCACTAATAAATTTATTGATTTTCCTTTTTAAAGTCTAAACACAACAGTGCATAACAACAATTTTTAATTGCATAGCAACAATTTTTAAATACATAACAATTTTAAATGCTTTAAAAAAAATTAAACGTTTTTATAATAAAAAATAAATTGATAAAATGAATTGATAAACCAAATACATAACAGTATAAACATAACTTTTGTAATTATTTTAACTAATAAATCCATAAGTCAATCTATATTGTATATTATTCTATATTCTGGAGTTTAGCCCATATTTTGAAGATTAAAAATTATTTTAATTTCAGGAAATAATTCTTTAAATAAATGGTGGCTAACCCAAAAATGTTTGTGAAAGTGTATTATAGTTATTTGAGTTACATAAAATTTTCAATAAATAAAAAAATTTCTTTTAACTAATAAAAAAAGAACAGTTGCTGGTTGCTTTCAGTTGACTTTACAATACATTACTTCAAAAATAAAAGTAATATAATTATTCCAAAATACATAATAAATTCTAACATAAATAATGAAAATATATGCAGTTTAGATTGTTTCAAATAAACTCTTTTTTTTTAATTGTTGTTATGTCATAAAATTTATTTATACTGTGAATGGTGACCAGTGCTTTTAACACACAGAGTTTTGCTTTAAAAAAAATTGAAAATTGTGGCAATATATTCCAATAATATTCAAAAAAAACGTCATAAATATCTATATTAGATGTAAATAGTTATTTTTTAACCAGTCAATCTTTGTAACATTAACTATTAATTAATAAAGATATTTATTTAGTCATATAACAATAGATATTTATCATAACAAGGTTATCTCTTTTGTGATTGCAATATTTTTTATGCCTAGCCTGGCACAGGAAACCCAAAAAGTAGTTAGACTAAAGATAGATCATAAGATTTTATAATACATACATCATGAAATTGTATTATGTTTAACATATAACTTGTGTATGAGAAGTTGTATTATATTTAACATAAACATAACTTTTATTGCTTT